AAAAAAAAAAAAACTGTTGAAGACAGTTTACATTAACACCCACTACCTAGCACCTCTTGTGGCAATGTTGAGAATACGACGGATACTAGCATTGCATTATGGATTGCATTGCAATGACATGCATCACACTTGCACAACTAGAAGTGTTTATGTTCACATATTTGTGTAGAGTTTTGAACTGTTTCATTAAGTCAAAGATGTGGCAGAACAACGTTTCTTTACAACAACTACAAAAATAAAAATGAATAAAAACTGCAAAAACATCGTTTCATAAATTGACCCATCACAAATGCTCCCTTGATATTTTTGTGCAAGAAACTCAATATGGAAGTAAACGACATACATACGTATGTATGTTTATATGTATGTATATAAATACACCCACCATTATGCATTATCCATGGGCAAATCATTACCCCCTACACTTTTCTTTAAAGCTCATTTGACACAACCGATAATTTGGCTATAATCATGATGAATGGCCGAGGCAGCAAGTCGTAAACATAGCAGTTTGTTTTGAGGCAGGCAGCTTCATCAATTCACATGTGCTCCAGCACAGCACTTTACTTCAGATGAATTTCGACTTTCTTTTCTGCACTGACAGTTATGGTATGACTTTTATTGCAAACATATATCCATGATGCACATCTTAGTAACTGTGCGACAATAGAAGACTGTTTATCTCAAAAATGCACTGATACAGAGGACATTGAATCGGTATGTCAGAGAAAGCCGTTTTCTGCATTCAAGGTGACTAAAATTACAAATCAAAAAGTGTCGCCCTAACAAGATTTAGTGGAATTTCAGTCATTTCTTATGACACAGCCTACTGCATGTCACCTATGTCCTTGTTCTATAAACCTTTTGGTATTGAATCACCGTGTAATACAACATAACAAAATATCTAGGATGTGTAGCATGAGTACAACAAGCATGACATGATGAACCACCAAAAAGAACAAGATTGATGTCATCAAAAAAAAAAAAAAAAAAACACGACTGTCCTTAGAAGACAATGTCCATCTTATACTATTACAATAATAGAAGCCTGAAATATGTGTACCTATGATGTCCTTGAGCTTTCCTACTGCAGTTTATCATACCATAAGAAGAGTAAGGCATTTTGTAAAGAACAAGTCGCATATCAAACCCAGACAACTGTGAAAAGAAATCAGAAAACTCAGAAAACTCGTACATCTACCAGCTCCACAAACCACAAGCTTGTGTCAGATGATTTGGGACATGCAGAAAAATTGCTGGATTCATTTTTTATTTTTAATACAGTATATACAGAGAGCGTGGCAGATTGTACATTAAACATTTAGAAAACTGCACACAAGGTGGGGTACATCTAGCAGAGCTAGCATAAGGCTAGTGTTGTTAGTAGCCAAAATGCTAACCGTTCAACATGAACCAGAAAATTTAGATCTGAAAAACACAAGGGGGCCCAAAGGAGGACTTCAAATGTGTAATCAAGTTTAAAGCAATAGTTTAAGCAAAATCAGCATCATTTTGAAAGTTTTTCAGTTAAGATTCATCAGTGATAACTACCAATTAGCATTTGTAGTGCTGTACTACAGTACATTTTACTGTTACCCTGTTGAAGTTTCACTGATATTAGCCTTCATTTGCATGTGAAAAGCCACATGTCGCACACATTAGACAAGTATGCTGACAAAGTTTACAGAAGTAATGTTAATGGTAATCAACACGGCTATGTTTCCCAAGTGTCCTCATTCAAGTGGGCTGACACCATCTAAAACAATTACAAATTTGACATGTTCTTACATGTGAATAAACTATCATGCCACTACCCTGATAACACACGTAGACTATATCATGGAGACGTCTATTTAATGTGCGCAATTTCATCTGGAAGATCTATGTTTTATTTTGCTCATCAGTGATACATCTCTAGACATTTAGAAAATGTCCTTAAAGCAACTGTATGTAACTTATGAAGAGTTGCTTTTAGATTTTTATGATTTAAAATGTTTGTAAAACTGCTACGATGTTTAACAGATGTTGGATGTTTTCCAAATTAAGCACTCTTTAAGACGTCTTAGAGATGTACATGTGCTATCTGGGATAGCTATACCCAATGTTGTTTTTGCACATTTGTTTTGATGCTATAAGGGTTATACCGTATACTGTAAAAAACATAGATCATGTATGCTATCAGATATGTAGTTAGCATAAATAGATTTAAATTCCTATATAAATATACTTGTTACATGTGGTTTTATTTATGATTTGTTCTATTTGTGTCAACAATCAATACCAACATTAGTTGATCTAGCCCTACTATAGCTCAGATGAGATGTAAGGAGCCTATGGATATGCACTCCAGATACTGTATATGGCTATTTGAAGGGCCATGATGAGATAAAAAAAAACATAAAGCCTCCTTCAGAGAGATAACACAATAGCATATGTGGTGATGTAACTAATGAAGAGATTGTCATGCATTCACATCATAATGTATGAAACAAATCTTATTATTACTTAGAATATTAAAATAATCATGAGCCCAATCTATTCATTTGCTAATAAATCCACTGATTAAAACTTTTGAGTGAGATTTTATGTCTCGTGTCTGAAGCTACCGATCAACAGCCACGTTACAGTTTTTTACAATCGCTAAGACCAATTTCTCCATCCATAACTCTTCACACAATAAGCACAACAGCAGTCTATGTGGGCTAAACTGTGGATCGTTTTCAATTGCTTTGGCAAAAAATACATTCAATGACTACGTCTTTCAAATGAAACTATTTCTGCAGTGAATTCTGCATAGTAGAGATTTACCATTCTTATTTTGTAAAGACATTTTAGAGAAGACAACATTGTATAATGATACCTTTTATTGTTTTTTTTTGTTTGTTAGGTCATTGTTTTATGAGTGACAAAGTGTGTTGGTTGGGTGACAACCTTTGCTAGAGTTTTGGAAAAATGAGCTGATTTGAGATATGTATGATGTGTTTTGGTAGTTTTAGTGCAGCTTGGATGTGAAATTTGCTTCTGTGACGAGCAGAAATTTGGTTAGGAGAATCGTGTGAAGAGTATAGAAAAAGTGACCTAAGTATTGAGAAATGGGTCCTAGCAATTGTAAAAAACAAAACAAAATGGTAGTGTAATCGTTTATGAAGCAAATGAAATGGCAAAGTTAATGTTTTTTTGCTTAATATAGCTTGCTGTCACATAAGTACATACTTTACGCAACTTTTTAGTTTATCTACAAAAATGTCTCTATTTAAATTCACATGTAAACCTGGCACTTTCTAAGTGAATGCAAAAAGATTGTTCTTCCAAAATGAGATGCATAATAAAACTGAACACACTATGTGAAAGAAATAAAATCATAAGGGAAAGATGGTGATAACAGCACATAAATATGCACACATCCATGTTGAGTGCATGTTCTCATATTATCTTAAATGTATGCTTAAATTAACATGGCATAGAAACTACATTTACATTTTTGCATGGAATCTCACAGACAGGAAACTATGATATTGGGTTGCAGTTGCCAAAATGACAAGATTTTACAATTCAAATATCAATATTAATAAAAAAATAGTGCATTCACAAACATGAACCTGTATTGTTCAAAACATAAATCATGAAATCACCAGAGTAATAATCTACTGTACCAAAACCACCAACACTTCAGTGTGAGGTAATGGAAATGCATGTTCCTCCTGTGTGGCACTGGCCCAAAAAAATCTCGACTTCATATTCTACACAGCTGAAATGCTTTATAAGAATGTTGCAGTGTTATAACTCTCTGAATACTTTCTCTGGTTCTCACTGCTCATATTGGCCACAAACAAAGAATCACTGGCTGGCCCAGTGCCTTACAGTCGGCTGTCAGCACTAAATCAACTCGCATCAACAATGAGTTTAATTCCATCCTGTGAGAGTTCAATCAACACTGACATTTTCTTTATGCAGGCGAAAGCTTGAAGACAATGTCAGCATGTGCCAAACTATTCATCTCAACGGCGAGTGATTAAAAAGGCACAGAGTTTCTTTTTCTTGGAGCCTTCTCAGGCTGTTTAAACAATAGTAGTCACTGAACGATAAATGCACTGATAAATCCACGGGGATGTGAACTCAACTCTAGATGATACAACTGATATAATGATATAATACTCTGGGTTTGCAAAGTGTCAAAAAACAGACAGTTAGTAATGATGCGCCTACGGATAGCGCTACTGGCTGCTGAAAGGCTACAGGTTCTCGCCATGGTGACTGACAGCCAATGGGGACTGAAGATTTTCTCCTGATGATACACAGGGCGAATTCCAAACGGCACTTCGGGAAGGGGCCGCCATTTGTAGGGATGTTCCAAACAAAAGTGAACAACTGAATCCCTTCACGAAGGGCCCTTCCAGAAGTCCGTACATGGAAGTGATTTCCGTTTGTGATCTTCGGTTAGGAGATTTTGCGATGCATTTTAAAGCAAAGTTGGGGTTGAATTCAACTTCACAAACGTAAGTAGAATAGGCTAATTCAATTTGTCTATATTAACGTAATACAAAACATTTTTTGTCAGTGATAGAAATATGATTTAAGATGGTAGTGTAAACAAGTTTAGTTTGAAAAAGTTTAATAATAATAATAATAAATAGCTATTTGCAACAACTGAAGGAGTGCAGAATGCTGCACGCATGCGCAGCGTGGTCAAGGTAACATTTGGTCAGTCATTCCCTTCGTCAAGGGAGTTCCAAATGCTTAGTAGGGCATAGGGATGCTCACTTCCGTTTGGAATTCGCATATTCCAAGCTATATTGGAGGGGTGGGGGGGGGGCTTAAGTGGTTAAATAATGACCATCCGTACAAGACCAGCAATACTGTCACATTTTACCTCATGCAACACATGAAATGGCACACACAAATCTGAAAAAAATTAAAATAAAATAACAACAAACTACTAACTAGAATTGTATACATCTACATGGTTGTTAAAAAAAAGAAAAATGAACACAGTAGCAGTAGCATCATGTTGCTGATTAAGACTGGACTGGCAGTTTATTTATTTATTTTCGGTGTTCATGTTCATTTCTGTGGGCTGGACCGGTTGATGGTCGGCTTTCTGTTGACGTAAGTGGCCCAGTAAGCCAGGTTGAAGATGAAGAAGAGCACTGGAAAGATGATACGAGAGATCTTGTCCACTTTGCTCACACGATTGTATGACTTTCTTACACCCTCCGGCACGTATTCACCATCCATTTTGGGCAGCCGGACCTCTCGGACCGGCTGGGATGGGGTGGACGTGGATGTGGCGCTCTTGGAGATGGTTGTCAGTCCGGGATCTTTGGCTACGCTCATGCTGTAGGTGGTTCCCACGATGTTGAAAGTGTTGTTGGTCTTCTTGGAGAAGGAAGCTGACTCTCGCCTCTGTGGAAGAGTCAAGAGGAAAAATTAGGGCAATAATTATTAAAAGAAGAAAACACACCCTATTAGTTCTCTTGAGCAAAAGTGAAACATTCATCTTATTAATGGACCTTCTACTAAATCTGTTTTCCCTTGCTGCACAAAATATGACAATTTTTTTGAGTAATGTATGTACAATTTACTTATTTTTTCTTTTTCTTTTTTTTTTTTTAAATAGTAGTGGGAATTACATTCAGCGCAACACGAAAAACATTGTAGTCATGATGGTATATATATGATCTTTAAAGGTAAACCCAACTTCTAAGTGTGCTGCTGATATATCTATTGTAATGACATTCTGGCAATCAAATCCTATTGCAATAATGTATAAACAAAAAATATATCTACATTAAGCCAGAATATAGCATACACAGCAGAGAATGCACTATAATAATAAATTGTAGCCATTTAGGATTTGCATAGTTTGAGCGCTCATTTTACTAAAATAATTATAGAATCAGGTGCACTGGTGCAAACATGTCCACAAAACCTGTGCTGAATGTATTTTACACATTGCATTTCCCATATCTTATTGGGAAGCAATCAGCAGCTGATTATATATTTAGCACTTTTCAGCACAAATAAGGAAGTGCTCATATACATCCAAATATCTGGGTACTGTTATGACTGAAGCTTAATAAATAGGCTTTTGCGTTGCTTTTGACAAGTGCTTTGATTAATTGGCCTGACTCTCGCCTCTGTGGAAGAGTCAAGAGGAAAAATTAGGGCAATAATTATTAAAAGAAGAAAACACACCCTATTAGTTCTCTTGAGCAAAAGTGAAACATTCATCTTATTAATGGACCTTCTACTAAATCTGTTTTCCCTTGCTGCACAAAATATGACAATTTTTTTGAGTAATGTATGTACAATTTACTTATTTTTTCTTTTTCTTTTTTTTTTTTTAAATAGTAGTGGGAATTACATTCAGCGCAACACGAAAAACAATGTAGTCATGATGGTATATATATGATCTTTAAAGGTAAACCCAACTTCTAAGTGTGCTGCTGATATATTTATTGTAATGACATTCTGGCAATCAAATCCTATTGCAATAATGTATAAACAAAAAATATATCTACATTAAGCCAGAATATAGCATACACAGCAGAGAATGCACTATAATAATAAATTGTAGCCATTTAGGATTTGCATAGTTTGAGCGCTCATTTTACTAAAATAATTATAGAATCAGGTGCACTGGTGCAAACATGTCCACAAAACCTGTGCTGAATGTATTTTACACATTGCATTTCCCATATCTTATTGGGAAGCAATCAGCAGCTGATTATATATTTAGCACTTTTCAGCACAAATAAGGAAGTGCTCATATACATCCAAATATCTGGGTACTGTTATGACTGAAGCTTAATAAATAGGCTTTTGCGTTGCTTTTGACAAGTGCTTTGATTAATTGGCCAAGGCTCTTGAGGGAAACATCTCGGGGGCATCCTCAAACCCGAAACAAAAGATCAGGGATTTTTGTAAAAAAGACAGAAAATAGCTTCAAACAATCTCTATCAATGGTATATATCAATACATTAATTAAAACAAAGAGATTCTTAAAGCCATCACAGAGGCTTGTTACATGCAAAACAGTCAAAGGTTTACATTGCACCGTGACAGAAGTTGGCTATAGAGAATATTTTTTAGTGCGAAGGGCAGATTCACTAAACAGTCGAGTCCCTTTTTTTTGTGTGATATTATACATTGTGTTCATAAAGCATCCACTCCACAGTTGAACAACGTGCTTTGTGCACTGGTGTAGCATTGCACCATGTATATTTGTTGATGTACTGTATATAACTTTACAAAGTGGTTAGTTACAGTCCTAGATTCTGATTGGTCAACAGATAAAGCATGGCTATGACCGCTTCACCCAACGGTTCTGTGTATCACTGCGCAACACCCTTAGCAACCACACTTAGCAATATAAACAATCAATATAGCTTCAGAACTGTCCCATGTATTATGTATTTCAGCAAAAATTATTAATGCAATGAATTATGAGTGACCCCTGCAGGTGTTATGTTGTGTCATTCACCTTTAATATGCCATTCCTGCTTTCTGAGAAACTCTTCTCATATGGGAGATATGTCGATGTGTGTGCGATGCGTGCGGAGGGAATATTACTGAATTTATTAGTTTTTGTTTCAGGTATGGTAGCTATTGTATGCCCATCAATTTACATTGTAATGACCAGGGTGTGATATGTGGAAAAATCAGTGGGGGGGGGGGGAGGTTTTTCATCTTAATCACTGCGTTCACAAAAAAAAAAGTCAGATGACTTTTTGATGAAGTCCACTAACTGAGCTGTCATTTTTTCTCCAATAAACATGAGCATATTACGACAAGCTTTGTCAGAATGAAGCACGTTTCCCAGGTTTACACCATTGAGTTGTTGCAGTTCTACCAGCCGTGGCTGTATTTTAAATGAGAAGTAGTTTTGGCAGATCATATAAGCTGTACGCATGCAATTTAAAACTCGCTTTACAACTCTTCTCATTGTTTTCTTCACAGCACTGCACTGCATTCCAATGATTTTTCAATTGCGGTCTCTTGTCTTTTCTGCAAAATTTCTATGCATTTCACATCGTCCCAGATCAATGCAGCACCCAACCGTAGCTTCAGAAAACACATTATTAGCCTGTAAGTCTGGATCGTTCGTCACATTAATCATGCGATCATGCGTCATCATGGGGGCTTTCCCTCAGTCTGGGAGCTCCCCTCTTTGCTTAAAACAGTATCTCCTGTAGTCTCATTCTCAAAATTTCTAGAATTTTTTTGTGATGGTCCTGTAAAATATGCTGATATGCTGCTCTGAATTCTGAACTGAACTCTGATATATTTTTCAAATATTTAAATATTTTATTTTTAGTTATTTTAAATAATCTATTTTTGAAGAAGCATTAATGACTAAATAAAATAAAGGGATAAAATAATTCAGCAGAGGTAGCAATATATAGACCGGGGGGGGGGTAATGATGGCAAATCACACCCCGGTAATGATGCTTGCAAACTTGCGCTGTGCGAATACACACATTTTTGGTTTTAATATTTGTATTGTGTAGTAACCGTTTTATAACTATAACTACACTCCGCTTTATGTTAAACACAGACGTCATAATATAGCTGAAAATGACAATAAGGAAAATAAGTCCTGGAAACAATCATTCAGTTCTGTATGATTTATAAGCTGTTTTCCTCAAAGAGACCAACAAAAAAAAAGTCCCCACAAGGTCAAAATTTACTGGTATTACTATCCTCGTTGGGACATTTGGTCCCCATAATGTAGTAGGGAATAGCAGGTACACACACACACACACACACACACACACACACACACACAGGTGGTCTTGTTGCAGCTTCCAGGTCTCTGTAGAAATACCTAACCAGGCTTCATTCTTGAGTCACAATCATGGGAGGAATGCCAGTAAACAAACAGAGCCTCTGTTAGCAGGCTTACACAAAAAGAAACACAGAAACTATCTAGTGTAGTCTAACCACATTGATCCAATTACAATGCTTTACAACATGCATGTATTACATTTGATGTTGCTGTTATTTTGGATTCCAAAATTCTTCTAAAGGAACAATTCACCCAAAATATGTTTTTAAGTAACATTCTAAATCTGTATTACTCTCTTTCTTCAGTGGCACACAAAATAAATTTAGAAGAATATCACTCTTTCCCAAACACAGGTTGAATGATGATGGGTACTGTCAAGCTCTAAAAATAAAACAATCATTAAATAACTTTTACTTTTGGGTAAACTACTTTGGTTTAAAATGGTTCGATAAGAATAAGACAATTAGCAGATTCATGGCGGGTTTCAAAGATTTTCATTTCCTTCATAAGTACTAGAAAATAAGAATCTCTAAATGTGTTCTTAGGTTACATACTAAAGATTTTGCTGCACATAGGAGAATTTGATATAATGCTATCAGATGCTATAATCCTTACTCATTACACTGTGTGCAAAGATTTTCACTTTTAGTTAGGCCTCTGATCATCTGTTCAAAAGATAATCTGGAAAGGTACAGTGGATAACAGGAGTGTAATCCTCTGTGGAGAAGTGATCATCTATGATTTAATATGCAGAGTCAGATTTACCACGACATGAGTGATTTTGATGAAGTGGGTTATCAAACCTGCTTGTTTGACAGTTCTAAGAATAAACTAGATTAAAGTGGTTCTTACCAGAGCAAAACTCACCACCACAGTGCTATGCGGTTGTGAAGGTATTTTTAAAGAGTTCTTATGTGGTTGCTAAGGTTTAGGCCATTGTTTAGTCAAGAGAGTTTCTATGATATTCTGGTCATTAGGCATGACTCATGTCCCTCCTTCAAAATAAGTCTATGGGATTTTTTTCAATATTGGTCGACATGGCTTTTACCGGCATAACAAATAAATATCTATACAATAATACTTCACACTATTCAATAATACATTTTTAACGTCTCCTCTAAATCAGGCGTTTTACAGGTTGCTTTGGACCAGTATATATATATAAATACTTTACAAAATTATACAATCATTTTGAATTATTAATAATTATTTTAAATTAGTAATACTATTTTGCAGATAAGATTAGTTCATTATTGTTATTCTATTATTAGTAGTACAATAGCAGCATTTTCAGACAGGCAGATTTCTCTGCATCCCTAAGACTCGATTAACTTAAGTAACTTCTTGGTTTGCTAGCATGTAAAAGAACAGAAACAAAATAAATGCATTTCCCTTACATGTATTCCAGCCATTCACAAAAGTAAACATTGCACAACCACAGCCACACAGACGATCCCACTACATTTTTGTCTGAAACTTGCATAACTTTCGTAGATTAACCTAAAAAAATAGAATCAATTTTAATCTGAATGTCTCTCCCTCCCCTTCGAAATTCACTCCTCGGGCTCAATCCCCTTGTGTACCCTAATTGCCAGCCCTGGTTACTTTAAGTGTA